GAGCTGTAAGAATTTGAGGTTTGAAAATGGCAGAAAATCTAGGTTAGGATTTGGGGGAGGAGAAATTCTCCCTCATCTTAGAGAGTTAGATCAAGTTATGCATATGGTTAGATTCGTCTCTTGATGCTGAACATTTTTTGTGTTATGAGTTTTCATTAACAAGCCAGGAATCAGGATGTTTGAATGTTGGAACCAAGCGCGCGTTTTCTGAACATTTTTGGCTGGAGGTTGAAGAAGGGTCTATTGGGCTGGGCTTGCTTCATATTTCTTATTCACACCATGATTTTTGTTTTGCACCCCCTTGTAGCGGTGAAAATCGGAGATCAAGCTATTAATTAACTTGACTCGCAAAAGCAAGAGTCGCCACCGCGCTTTATTATTTCCAAGGGAAAAGGGAAAAGAGCGAAATAAAACCCTAAAGTATGCAATGTAAATTAATATTTAAAAGTAATGAAAATACAATGCGTTTTTAAAAGAGATCGAGAGTTCGGGGGTTGGTTATACAATGGGAAGGTATTAGCACCCAATGCATCTGCGGTACTCCGCAGGAACCTTTTGAAATATCTGTTTTGGTTAAAATTGTTTGTTTGATTAAAATGGTTTGTTTGGTTAAAGATGGGTATGGACGAGATTTTTGAAGATACGACGACCTAGTGTCGAAGTTTTGACTTAAAAGAGGTGAGTTTGAAAATGGAGTCTTTTGGGAAAATTATCTTAAGTTTAGCAAAATAGTAAACAAGCAAAAAAAAATGAATGAAGGGGTTCGCGCAATCGTATGAGATATGTTCGGTGACATGAAGTCAGCAAATTTAATTATTTCCCTTGGAGTAAATTGAGCAAATAAAATAAGATGAATCAGTAAAGTATAAACATTCGAAAATTCACAAGAAAACAAATCTAATGAAACAGACTAATGACCAAAGGTATCAAGAAATTAAAATAACAAAGATATTTAAAGAGAAGAAAATAGAACTAATTATCTAAGTAAAAATTCTAAGATTACTTACTAAAATAATTCTATACTAATCACAAATTCTAAAGTTATAAAAATAATTCTAAAGTGACTACACTAGATCTAAACTAAAATTAAAATTTTGATATTAGCAAATTAAATCTAAGCTAAATTAAATTCTAAGGTTACTAAATTTAATCTAAAACAAATAAAAATTCTAAAATTACTATATTAAAAAAAAAATAGAAATTCTAAAGTTATTAGGTTGAATTTAAATTAGATGAAAATTCTAAAGTTAAATCATATCTTAAACTAATTGAATATTCTAATAAATCTAAACTAAAAAAACTAGATTAAAAATACTTTTAAGCCTAAATTAAATTAATCATAAGAAAAAAAAAGGGGTGTGAAACTGAAGTATAAGGTGGAGATAATAATTTCGAATGGGCTTATTAAATTGTGTTGGGGTGAGTCTCATATGCCATCCAAATAACTAAAAAAAACTAGAATAAAATACTGTTGGGTTGTACTGGATCGCGAAGTGAGGTGGAATGGCCTTCTTGATCTGGCCGAGACTAAATGGAGGCTTTTCAAACGGCACCCGCTTCACAGTGTCATTCTCTGATTTCCTCCCTTCAATCTCTGCCTAGGCAAGAGAATGAGCAACAATTTGGTATCATAGTGCAAAAGCAATTTAAAATTTGAAAACAAATATGAGTGAAACGAATGAATTTCTTCAAGACAAACATATTCATTGTATTAAGATAATCATTCAGATGCAAACAAGTTCTTACATGCAAACACTGTTTTGATAAACAAGAAAAATTACAAAAAGCAGAAATAAGTTAATGATCGGGGAAGGCTTTCCATCTGGACTTGAATCACCGAAAACATCCTTCAAAACTCAAAGTGACCATCGATCGTGTTTACTCTTCGGCACGTGCTTGATTTGAACTTCAAAACCAACGTCCTTGAATGACAAGATACCACTTCTGACCAACTTCTGAACCTCAATCTTCAAAGCAAAGCAACCCTCCAAGTCATGCCCAGGAGCACCTTGATGAAAAGTACCAGTCAAATCAGCTTTGTAGCACCAATGTATCTTCTTAGGAACCTTCGGTGGAGGTCGGGTCTGAACCAAATTCCTCTGCATCAGGATAGGGAACAACTCTGTATAGGTAATTAGAATTGGATCAAACTGGGTTTTCCTCTGATTAGGAACTTGCTGATTTTGTTGATGAATAGGAGGAACATGATGATTTTGACGATGAATATTTCTTCCTATGGTTATCTTCTTGGAAAAGTCATTATCAAACTTCTTCACACCATTAGCTGAGCTACCATCTTCATATGAACATCCCTTCCCCAACATCTTCTTCTAGATGCACTCCCACATTCACCTTGTCAGGAAGGTCATTAGGTGCATTAACCATCACCTTCTCATGAGAGAATTATTTTATAATTTCATTGAATACTTTTATCATCGCTTCCTCCCTCCTAGAAGGATTGACTTGAGCGGCAACCAGAATTTCGACCAAAACAGTTGAGTGATCCATACCAGCTTTCAAAATAGTCATCTCTCTACGGAGTTCAGAAACCTCTTGCTTGATATTCTCCATTGTTCTCTTAGCGCGAGTGTTGTACTGGTGAGACCAAAGGAAAAATAAGACTCGGAAGAAGACCTTTGAAAGTGAAACAAAAAATGTAAAATGATGTATGATATGCAAAAGAGAGTTTTTATTTGATTTTTAAGGAACTCAAGATATTAAGTTGTAAACATCAAAGTATGAAGATAGAAGATGAATTTTAATTTGGCTCCAAACATTGATCAAGTTATCATCAAGATCAATCATCCATTTTGGTGGATTAGGGTTTTCGCCCTATCAACACCCAAGATCCATTGAGCTTGACAAAACTTGTGATGTTTACAAAGAAAGACCTCCAAATTCCTTCAAAGTCAAGTGAAAAGGGTTTTATGGATGCATGAATGCATGGCTATGCAACAATCACAAGCAAGGTCACAAATAAAGTCGGAAGGTTTAACGTCTCGAGCATGGAGTCAAGGTAAGGAACACCCCCAAGGTATGTACTAACGGTTTAATCACACCTGTAGAACAAGGTTCTAAGAGTTCCCAGAGTCTACATTCCTCCTTCGGATATTACCAACGTCTTGATTACTCAATAATCAGCAATATTCTCAAGAGAAACTCATCCGAGCGTAGCATCGCGTAACAATTACTTCCGGATTACTCCGTTATAATTTTCGCGCTACACCTAAAAGGCCAAGATGGGTTAGGGTTCTACGGTTCCCAGCTTCTCTGGCTCCCAGGTCGAAAATAATAATGTCTTCCCGATTACTCGGTAAACAAATATTACGTTCAAAAGGGCCTTCCACTGAGTGGGGGATCTCATGCCTCCTTCTTCGGGATTACTCCCTCAAAGTTAACATGACTATACCGCCCGTCCTATTCCTAAGTGTAACTTAGTCCGGGTATAGGACTTGTCCTTTGTAAATATCATCAACACCCAAATAATCACAATATATACATATAATCAAACAATCAAATAATGATAAAACAGATAAAACAAATTAGGCTTAACCCACTTAGGGATGGACCAGCAAGAGGTCAATCTTTCCCCAGCAGAGTCGCCAATTCTGTAGCAGTGAAAATCGGAGATCAAGCTATTAATTAACTTGACTCGCAAAAGCAAGAGTCGCCACCGCGCTTTATTATTTCCAAGGGAAAAGGGAAAAGAGCGAAATAAAATCCTAAAGTATGCAATGTAAATTAATATTTAAAAGTAATGAAAATACAATGCGTTTTTAAAAGAGATCGAGAGTTCGGGGGTTGGTTATACAATGGGAAGGTATTAGCACCCAATGCATCTGCGGTACTCCGCAGGAACCTTTTGAAATATCTGTTTTGGTTAAAATTGTTTGTTTGATTAAAATGGTTTGTTTGGTTAAAGATGGGTATGGACGAGATTTTTGAAGATACGACGACCTAGTGTCGAAGTTTTGACTTAAAAGAGGTGAGTTTGAAAATGGAGTCTTTTGGGAAAATTATCTTAAGTTTAGCAAAATAGTAAACAAGCAAAAAAAAAAATGAATGAAGGGGTTCGCGCAATCGTATGAGATATGTTCGGTGACATGAAGTCAGCAAATTTAATTATTTCCCTTGGAGTAAATTGAGCAAATAAAATAAGATGAATCAGTAAAGTATAAACATTCGAAAATTCACAAGAAAACAAATCTAATGAAACAGACTAATGACCAAAGGTATCAAGAAATTAAAATAACAAAGATATTTAAAGAGAAGAAAATAGAACTAATTATCTAAGTAAAAATTCTAAGATTACTTACTAAAATAATTCTATACTAATCACAAATTCTAAAGTTATAAAAATAATTCTAAAGTGACTACACTAGATCTAAACTAAAATTAAAATTTTGATATTAGCAAATTAAATCTAAGCTAAATTAAATTCTAAGGTTACTAAATTTAATCTAAAACAAATAAAAATTCTAAAATTACTATATTAAAAAAAAAATAGAAATTCTAAAGTTATTAGGTTGAATTTAAATTAGATGAAAATTCTAAAGTTAAATCATATCTTAAACTAATTGAATATTCTAATAAATCTAAACTAAAAAAAACTAGATTAAAAATACTTTTAAGCCTAAATTAAATTAATCATAAGAAAAAAAAAGGGGTGTGAAACTGAAGTATAAGGTGGAGATAATAATTTCGAATGGGCTTATTAAATTGTGTTGGGGTGAGTCTCATATGCCATCCAAATAACTAAAAAAAACTAGAATAAAATACTGTTGGGTTGTACTGGATCGCGAAGTGAGGTGGAATGGCCTTCTTGATCTGGCCGAGACTAAATGGAGGCTTTTCAAACGGCACCCGCTTCACAGTGTCATTCTCTGATTTCCTGCTCGAAGGAGGAACAGAGGTTCAGTCACCAGCTCCCATCTTCAGCAACCTGAAAGTGCAAACAGAAGATTAGATTGTTGAAGCGGAAGGTTAGATAAGAGTGCTCTATGGCATGTGGTCAGCGGTTGTGCGATCTGAGCGGAGGGACTTGTGACAGCAAGCGCGAATCAGATGAATCCATCGACGGCGTGGTCGGAATCGTGGTGGTGACAGCTGGGTAATGCGGAAGAGAGGTGGCGACGGGATTGGCCGGTTGTGCGTCAATGTTTTGTGCAGGATTTCTGCAATGTTCTTCCACCCCAACTTTGATCTTCTTCTTTCTATTTCTTTCATAACTACCGCATTTACACACTTTTTGACACAACTAGTTATCTCGCACGAGGCAAGCGTGTGAGAGACAAGTAGAAAGAAACAGGATGTGTTGTGTTGTGTTGTTGGCGCTAACTCATATAGCAGTTGGTAGACGGAGACATTTATTATTGAGAGAGAGGTGTTGCTGTGAGGCGAGGGATATGCGTGTGCAGAGATTGCAGTGAGAGGTTGTGTGATGCTGTGGGGACGGTGGGATCGTGGTATCGCCGATCAAAGCTTCAGCGGAGTCCTGTCACGCATGGTCGCTGTTTCGGCTTGCGCTGTCGGAAGGAATCCCTACGTGTAGGACCAGCGGATACAGTAGACGGTGCTAAGCCACGTGAAAAAGCAGAAACATCAGCTTGAAACTTTCTCCTCGGCCTCGTCTCACTGGTCCGTCCATTGCTGACAGTTTCTTTTTGGCAGCAAGATTTGTTTGTGTTAATCTATCAGGTAATGTTTATGGACACTCCCAAAGAAATTTGTCACCAAGTCCTCCAACATCAAGATGATTGTCAATCTTTTCAACACTGTTTTCAAGCATGTGAAGTGCCTTTGGAAAAACTAAAAACGTCACTTTGAGGTAAAACAACATCACCCCACTCCATGGAACCAACGGGCCTTTGCAATACTAAGTACAATGATTTCACTGACTCAGAAACCTGGTATAACGGAATTTGCAAGTGAGAGGTGATGACAGATTGGTGTTTAGAGAACAGAGAATGGAGAGTGAAAATTGAACGATGAGGCTGGGGATGGAATTGGGTTGGAGTTTGTGAAGAGGAAAGGGAATTAGGAGTGTGTATGAAAAAGAGAGGAGGGATTCTTTACTGTTAGTGTTGTTTTTTGTCTTTGTTCCCCCCCCGAAGTGATGTTGATGATGGTGATTGGGTAATAGATGAAAGGGTGTATGGTGGTGTGATCCTCAATTTCATCCAAGAGCCAATAGGAATATAGCATTGTGTGTGTATCGATCCTCAATCTCATCCAACAGCCAATAGGAATAGAGTATAGTGTAACAATATATTTTTGTGACCAAATAGTCCTTAAATGATAAAAATAACCAAAAAACTAAATGTATTAAAATTAACTCAATTTAAATGATTTTTTTTTAATGTTTTATGAATAAAGAATAAAGACCCAAAATGACCGAAAATGATAAAACACGGACGAAAATTTATCCGAAAAAATAAAATGAACACATTAAAATAATCTACATGTCACAAAGATTAAAGAAAAAATATTCAAGAAGTCAAAAATCAAAATAAAATAATAAAAAATATCAGACTAAACAGACGTTTAAGGTTAACAACAAGACTTCGAACTGTACCGAAAAATAAAGCGAGCATACCGTCATAATCTACGCGAAGCGCAGATTCATAAAATGATCGGTAAAAGGTGAAAACTTGAGATATTTTCTCGCTACTTTCCCGCATAGTGTCGAATCGCTTTTAACAGTTTGTCTATAAAACCGAAATATTTTTATTATCGACGTATAAACAACTTGGAGCAATGCAAGAAAATGAATGAAATGAAATGTCGGGTATTTTACAACTGAAAGACGATGCAAACTTTGATTTAAACTGACTTTGTCCGGTCAACTTAAATACGACTAATGATGCAAAATATGATGAATGAAGATATTTACTAATGATTGTGACCAAATGACAAAATATGATATGAAAGTGCGACTAAAACATTAGGGGCGAAATAAAGGGGGCAACGGTGTGCCTTGATGAATCAGTCTTCGAGAATCCACAATCAACCGCACTTCTGGCTTGGGAGACTCAAAACCTTAATTGAGGCGCGACACCTGATACTCTTGATTCGGACCTATCTCTGCACATGACACAAAAGAACATGAACATACACCTTTGTATGCGATTAGAAATTAGTGATACATATGCTAAAAATGTTCAAAACACTTGACAATCTTCACATAGTCAAAGCTCGAAGGTGAGACGTTAAAAACCGACTGTATTTCGTGACCTTGACTTATCTTAAAAATGCAAAAAATAAAAAATGGGATCTTAGGTCAAAAATTAGGGTACAACAGCTGCCCCTATTTAAGTTTCTTCTATCTGGAGATATGAAGATTGGGATCTTCATTTCGACGAGATTGAAGGGACTTAAATATAGAATACACAATTTTTGGCCTTAAGATACCGCGATTATGTTCATGATATGATATGAATGTAATGCTCTGAATTTTATGGGGAATGACGCCATACGAGACAGACTATGCTGGAGAAACCAAGCACATTACACAGTAATCCTACAGAGGAAGAGGTTGTAACTCCACTGGGGAAACAGAGTCGTAGACTTCAAATGAGAGACTCTTGAATGATTTACATCAGTATTGAGACTGGAAAAGGTAATGATTTACATCAGTACTGAGACTGGAAAAAGAAATGATTTACATCAGCACTGTGACTGGAAAAGGAAATGATAGACATCAGTACTGAGACTGGAAAAAGAAATGATCTACATCAGCACTACGGTTGGGAAACAAAATGATTGACATCAGCACTGTGGCTGGGAAACAAAATGATCGACATCAGCACTGTGGCTGGAGATAAACATCTCTGATTTCTGAATTTTACCAAGAACGGTAACACATTTCTTCTTTAACCAAGATATCGCTTGAAAAGGATAAAATAACAAACTTCCCCACGGGACTTTTCCGAAGAGATGCCATTTGCTGAGTAAACATTATTGTTGGGGATACACAAGCTGCTCAAATAAAGAGGCCGCCACTTGCTTCCTTTCAAAGGTGTCAGTAACATACAAGCTGCTCATGAAGAGACCGCCACTTGCTGTCTTCAAAGAATATTAAAGCACACAAGCTGCTCATGAAGAGTCCGCCACTTGTTGCCAAAAATCCACAAGCTGCTCATAAAGAAGCTGCCACTTGCCGTTTTCAAGGGAACAATAACACACAAGTTGCTCAAATAGATAAACTGCCACTTGCTGTCTTCCAAAAAATACTAACGTACAAGCTGCTCATGAAGAAGCTGCCACTTGCCGTTTTCCGTACAAGCTGCTCATGAAGAGACCGCCACTTGCCGTTTTCAAAAAGTGTTGATAACATACAAGTTGTCCATGAAGAGACTGCCGCTTGATGTTTCTTTTCAAAATTACCAATAACACACAAGTTGCTCATGAAGAGACCGCCGCTTGTTGTTTTCTTCAAGGTATCAATAACATACAAGTTGCTCATGAAGAGACCGTCGCTTGTTGTTTTTTAAAGTTGTTAATAACATAACAAGTTGCCTCGTGAAGAGACTGCCGCTTGATGTTTTTTAAAGTTGTTAATAACATAACAAGTTGCCTCGTGAAGAGACTGCCGCTTGATGTTTTCGAAGGTGACAATAACACACAAGTTGTCTCATGAAGAAACTGCCGCTTGCTGTTTTCTTAAAAGGTATCAATAACACACAAGTTGTCTCATGAAGAAACTGCCGCTTGTTGTCTTTCAAGAGTATCCATAACACACAAGTTGTCTCATGAAGAAACTGCCGCTTGCTGTTTGTCAAGGTATCGATAACACACAAGTTGTCTCATGAAGAAACTGCCGCTTGTTGTCTTTTCAAGGTATCGATAACACACAAGTTGTCTCATGAAGAAACTGCCGCTTGTTGTCTTTTCAAGGTATCGATAACACACAAGTTGTCTCATGAAGAAACTGCCGCTTGTTGTCTTTTCAAGGTATCGATAACACACAAGTTGTCTCATGAAGAAACTGCCGCTTGTTGTCTTTTCAAGGTATCGATAACACACAAGTTGTCTCATGAAGAAACTGCCGCTTGTTGTCTTTTTAAGGTATCGATAACACACAAGTTGTCTCATGAAGAAACTGCCGCTTGTTGTCTTTTCAAGGTATCGATAACACACAAGTTGTCTCATGAAGAAACTGCCGCTTGTTGTCTGTCAAGAGTATCCATAACACACAAGTTGTCTCATGAAGAAACTGCCGCTTGCTGTTTTCTCAAAGATACCCATAAAATATCATGAAGATATTACTGGAGGTGAGAGTCAATAATTTCACCGAGGATGGACAAACTGCTCATGAAGAGACCGCCATTTGTCATAGAGAAATCAGAAATAATCAAACTGCTCAAATAAAGAGTCAGTCGCTGGTTGTCATGTCGATATTCCAGAAGAAGGTTGTGATAACACTGCTAGGGAATAAAGTTCATCTTTAATGGGGAACCATGAATAAATCCTTCCTGAGGAGACCAAGTATTTACATTGCAAATAAATGCACTCTCCATCTAGGTTTCACAGCCTAGAGAGATCCACAGGGTATCATTCACAAGAGACAAAGCTCAATCCAGGAATAAACTGGAGAGAAAATAGTCAAACAAGACTCCACCCAATGAGGAAACAACTCCAATGGGGGTTTATCCTATCCAGAGATGGAAAAGGAAAGATGAAGCAAGATTCTTCCACGAGAGTTAACTCAGTGGGGAATTAGAAAAGAGGCGCACTTTCTGCTTAAGTTGACATTCTATTTGGAAAGATCAAATACGCTATTTGAATAGATAACCAAGGTATACGTACTCAAAGACATCAACAGATACAACTGTGCATGCATGATGCAAGTGTGAATGAATAAATGAATGTCATGTATATGCTGACAAAACGGACAGGGGAGATGGACAGAAAATGATAAGACATCATAGTACAACTCGACACTCGGCTAATCTCAACAGGATGGTAACATTACTGGAGATAGAAAACAAAAGCCATCATTGGAGCAAAGTCCTTTTACAAGGCTTAAATCTCTTTGGAGAGGAAGATATTTTCAGGTAGAAAACCCAAAGTCCAATCTTCTATTGTCGGCAATCCATTGAAAGGATAACAACACGAACAATGCTTCAGTTGGAAAAAGTCATGCTTAGCTGGAGATACTGGGAACACCACCCTCTGATAATGTGTGCAAAACATATCACATATCTTGACAAATCTAGATTGCCCCTGGGACAAATTTTGGATGCCCCAAGTTTACTGCTGATGAGCTGCATGTTGCACGACAATTCTTGCGAATAGCTTCACTTCTAACATGTCCCAAGCTATCTGGTTGATGAGGAGAAATCGTCTCAAGAGGATTTTACAAAAGACCTGGCATTCACCATGCTCTGGTGTCTTCAAACTCTTAGAGAGATTCATCAAATCTCTACGTGATTGCCCCGGATTGACTGTAGTTGGCACAACAAAGTCTTCAAATTTTTCCCCAAAAGAGTAAACAAGTTGGGAAAGCATTAATTAGAAGAAGCAACACGTCCTTGCTTAAGGTCTTCAGGTGACATGCCCCTGGATATGATTTTTTCTTGACGTGATCCACCAATTACTCAACATAGTTT